AATAATATCTCAAACACTATGGTTGTCCCTTTTATAAGAAAAGTGTGACTTCATAGTGTGCCTTTGATTTGACTTATGTTAAATTGTTCAAAAAAAAAAAATTTGATTTCCTAGCCTGACTTAATAAAACCAACACATCAATATCTATGTCTAAAGGAAACAATGCATACCCATAAACATGTTATTTGAAAGAGTTATTTCAAAAAAAAAAAACATATATCAAATATTATGGTTGTTCTCTTCATATAGAGTGGAAGGAACAACCACAAGATAACTAAAATTACTTTTTTCTTTTACATGTAAAGGTTTTCAAAAATTTTGAAACATATCCCTAAAAAAAAANACATGAGTTTCTTCAGAAAATACCAAAATAAGTTAAAACTTTGATAACAAATGGTTACTCAAGTAACACAAACACTATGAAAACCACATAGAATGGTATTGACTCAATATATAGGATATGTGACTCCAAAGTGTGTCAACAAAGTGTTTTTGCTCTACTATAAATTCATATGTCAAAATAAAGAAAAATTGTGGCAACAAAAGGTTACTCAATCAAAACATCACTTTATGAAAACAAAATGTGTCAACAAAGTGTTGGTTGAAAGTGTGACTACAAAAGTAACTTAATATAGTGGATTGATGGTGTGACTCCAAAGTGAAAAATAAATAAATAAATAATATCTCAAACACTATGGTTGTCCCTTTTATAAGAAAAGTGTGACTTCATAGTGTGCCTTTGATTTGACTTATGTTAAATTGTTCAAAAAAAAAAAATTTGATTTCCTAGCCTGACTTAATAAAACCAACACATCAATATCTATGTCTAAAGGAAACAATGCATACCCATAAACATGTTATTTGAAAGAGTTATTTCAAAAAAAAAAAACATATATCAAATATTATGGTTGTTCTCTTCATATAGAGTGGAAGGAACAACCACAAGATAACTAAAATTACTTTTTTCTTTTACATGTAAAGGTTTTCAAAAATTTTGAAACATATCCCTAAAAAAAAAAAAGAAATAAGGGGATGGGATGGGAGGGGAGGGGAGGGGAGNGGATAACTAAAATTACTTTTTTTTTTACATGTAAAGGTTTTCAAAAATTTTGAAACATATCCCTAAAAAAAATAAAGAAATAAGGGGATGGGATGGGATGGGATGGGATGGGATGGGAGGGGAGGGCAGAGGAGAGAGAGAGAGAGAAAGAGAGCGCGAGCGAGCAAGCGACCGACCANGATAACTAAAATTACTTTTTTCTTTTACATGTAAAGGTTTTCAAAAATTTTGAAACATATCCCTAAAAAAAAAAAAGAAATAAGGGGATGGGATGGGAGGGGAGGGGAGGGGAGAGGAGAGAGAGAGAGAGAGAGAGAGAGAGAGAAAGAGAGCGCGAGCGAGCAAGCGACCGACCAACCGTAATGGAGATGATTTATTATGAGTTTTGATTTTCCAAAACCGTTTTAGGCAACTTTNTAAATGCAAATTTGAATCTATACGACCAAAAAGAAAAGAAATTAACATATTAACATGACCAAATGCCTAAAATAGGAGGGAGAAATACTTAAACGAACTTTCTACTTTCTTTCACTCTTAAAATGGATAAAAACATCATGAACCTTTTTTCCTTCAAATTGATCTCTCTAAAGAACAAGAAAAGAGAACAAAAGACGCCAAAAGTGGCAAACTGCCCAGTATCAACTACTGCAGACCAACGTATACCCATCCCACTACCATCCACATTGAGTTCAANCTTGAGAATTGTTCTAGCATTAAAATTATTTTTGTATATATATTATATATCTAATAACATTAAACAATAACATGCTTGTAATGACAAAAATTCATGTGTAATATAACACAGAAGTAAGGTCAAAGTTATAATTGCTGATGATTTTGACTTAGCTTAATAAAGTGATGTTTACTCTTTTTAGCATACTTCTCGTGTGTATTGTCCTCTAAATGGATTTGATAATGACAAGGGTTGAACCGNGATCACGTTTTTTTGTTTACTTTTTTCATTCAAATGATTGTTTTTTAATTTTAACGTTTTTGTGTTTATGTGTTTTTTTTCTTTACAATTTTGTATTTGAACAATGAACACTGCAATAATAATTGTTGTTTGAANCGATGTATTTCTCAATCTTTGATCTGGTGTTGATTGTGGTAGATTTGGTGAAGATAAGGCCGTGACCAGCGTGCTCCTCAACCCTTGATTTAATGATGCTTTGATAGATTTGTTGAAGACGAGAGTTGGATTGACATGATTCTCATTTTTCGATCTTTGATTTGGTGAATTTCTTGAAGACAAGGGTCGAATTGACATAGTTCTCATTCTTTGATTTGATATTGACTTTATNCAATGTATTTCTCAATCTTTGATTTGGTGTTGATTGTGGTAGATTTGGTGAAGATAAGGCCTTGACCAGCGTGCTTCTCAATCCTTGATTTAATGATGCTTTGATAGATTTGTTGAAGACGAGAGTTGGATTGACATGATTCTCATTTTTCGATCTTTGATTTGGTGAATTTCTTGAAGACAAGGGTCGAATTGACATAGTTCTCATTCTTTGATTTGATATTGACTTTATTGGATCTTTTCACCGTTCTTTGTGTTGAATGACTTGAAGATAATTTGAATCTCTTGAAGAAAGACCTTGGCGGTGTTTTTTCTCCTTAGAAATAGATTTGCAAGACCTCAGTTGGGGGCTAGACTCTAGTACAGCTTCGCTACTGATTTTTCCTTCTCCTCGTGAGATGGACTTGGACAGATTTTTTTTTTATCTTTCCTCCNTCGATTTGATATTGACTTTATTGGATCTTCTCACCGTTCTTTGTGTTGAATGACTTGAAGATGATTTGAATCTCTTGAAGAAAGACCTTGGCGGTGTTTTTTCTCCTTAGAAATAGATTTGCAAGACCTCAGTTGGGGGCTAGACTCTAGTACAGCTTCGCTACTGATTTTTCCTTCTCCTCGTGAGATGGACTTGGACAGATTTTTTTTTTATCTTTCCTCCATCTTGACTTCTCTTGCTCTTCCTTCTTGGCCTCCTCTTGAGATGGACTCGGGTGGAGTTTCTTGATTTATCCTCTTCCTTGGCTTCTCTTCTTGGTTTTCTTCCTTGACTTACCACAAACCTCTATTTATTTTATTGTGGGCAAGACAATAGTTTTAAGTACTCATATATGATGTCATTATATTGCAATGATTAAATTTTTAATTAAACTTTTTATTAAGCATGTTATTGTTTGATGTTACTACTCTTTTGTTGANATCCTCTTCCTTGGCTTCTCTTCTTGGTTTTCTTCCTTGACTTACCCCAAACCTCTATTTATTTTATTGTGGGCAAGACAATAGTTTTAAGTACTCATATATGATGTCATTATATTGCAATGATTAAATTTTTAATTAAACTTTTTATTAAGCATGTTATTGTTTGATGTTACTATTCTTTTGTTGAACATATTATTATTTAATGTTACTATATGTAGAAAAATAATTTTAATGATAGCACAATTCTTAAATTAGAAGTTGTTATATTTGAAAACATTGAAACTAACAAAGATAGACAGTATTTACGATAGGAGTAATTACGTAATACCAAAAAAAAAAAAAATTTGAAATATATACTTAATGACAATAATTTAATAAAAAAAGAGAGGTTAATGAAGTATAAGTCTAACTATGATACTTAAAGCCTGACAAATTCTAAAAGAAAGACCCAACCAAATATTTGTAAGAAGAAACTTCCCAACTATGGGCTTCACCCACGGATATGACAAAACAGAAGGCTTTTACCACATTTTATAGGTGTGTGTTGGCTGCCACTTCTACTGATCAGCCTGGAACAGGGCAGAAGCGTTTGGAGAGAAGAGCGCAAGAACCGCGGGCCTGCTGATGGGCTCATATGGAGGATCCATTGCATGTCAGTAGTGGACGGGCACGTCCATATACTCTGGAAAATTTAGAATGCAATACGGGACTACTGAGTCTTTAAATGGAGAAAATTAAAAAAAAAATTTAAAATCTTTCAAAGTAAAAGGCTTCATGTACCATACAAAAATGTGGGTAAGCAAATAATACAAAAGTGAATTACCACAAGAAGAAAATAAAATCACAGATTAAACAATAGAGTTATTCTATGAAATTGCAAGAATCAAGGTGCATAAACATATTTACCCCCCAAAAAAAGATGCATAAACAAACCACTCATCACATCCCCATAATATGCTGCAATAACTTGCTAGCCAAGCTAGATCACCCAAAAATTCAATTTTGATGATCAAACAATGAAAGAAAGACCGATTGAGTGTACAAGACTCTCATTTATATGAAGTCGATGAAAGTCAAATGTACACAATTTTACCTTTACATACAGAGAAATTTTTTTGTAACTCGAACTTTTAACGTCCAAATCACAATAAAACCACTTTACCATTGTGCCAAGGCTTCGATAAGGGCAACTTCAACCTTATTCATGTTCTAGTGGCGCCTTAAAATATCAAACATAAGTTGCTCTATCCAAAGCTTAAATGCAAATTTGAAACTATACGACCAAAAAGAAAAGAAATTAACATATTAACATGACCAAATGCCTAAAATAGGAGGGAGAAATACTAAAACGAACTTTCTACTTTCTTTCACTCTTAAAATGGATAAAAACATCATGAACCTTTTTTCCTTCAAATTGATCTCTCTAAAGAACAAGAAAAGAGAACAAAAGACGCCAAAAGTGGCAAACTGCCCAGTATCAACTACTGCAGACCAACGTATACCCATCCCACTACCATCCACATTGAGTTCAAGAAATCCTGTTTTCAACCAGCAAGACTGGGGCACCAGTATTTATTTGTACTAAATTCCATACTGCTGGCTTCCAACCAAAAAAGGGGCAAACGCATCAGCTTTCTCCAAAACAAAACTGATGAGAAAAAAAAGAAACAAACCATCTGCCAACAAAATTGACCTTCCCAGATCCTTTCTGTGAGAGATCATATGTCAAGCCTCAGTTTCAGAGTCAGAAGAGTTAAATTCAGAGGAAGCACCCCCTGAATTGGAAGCATTAGATTCAGACAGAACTGAAAATTCTTGCTGGGTGCCTCGACACACTTTCAAGGATGGCCTCAGTTTCATGTACTGCAAAGGGAAAAAACAAAACACAACTGAGTGAACTGCATTATATGTTGCAGAATTCAAGATCAAATAGCATTTCAGCCATCCTTGAGATGAGCCAAAATTCAAGGAACTCAAATGAACCAATACAATGCATTAGCTTAGTTGTTGGAGTCAATTACAAATAGTGACTACCAAATGTCAGCCTGTCAACTCAAGAAGCTGGGAAGGGGGATGGGATACAAACATAGCACCCCACTTTAAGTTACTTGCATGAACTCCAAATTTCCATAGGATTATAATCAATACTTATTTGAGAAAACGTATCTCAATTGATGAGTTAACAATCAGCTAAAACTTGGTCCAAAAACAACAAAAACTGATCCAAAGAACTCAATTCAGACTTTTCCCCATTCCCTTCTTTTTTAACTTGGGGAAAGAGGAATTTAACTTCTTATTTTTTGTGAGGGGGTTGCTTACGTTCAAAGTGAATTTTAAGGAGCCTAGGAAAGACGGCAGCTTAGGGACTCCAATCTTAGTTAACTTTAAACTACAAATTAGAGTTGGTTACCTCCCGATAAAAGGCATTGATTTCCTCCTCTGTGAGGCCTTCATCCTCTCCAGCATTTTCCTCCCAACCTAGAGAGCGAAGGAAAGCAGCCTCCTCTTCGTCTGGATAAACTGCTCCATTCAGGTGGACATTCTTCTCTCCACCATCAGAAAATCTCGGAGTCTCTTCATTAGAATCATCATTGCTATCAATCCTGGTACCATTCTCAGCAACACGAGGACTTGCAGGAGCACTGACAACTTCTTTAATCGGTTCACCAGATTTCTCCACAGTGGGAGACAAAACAGCAGGGCTTGCATCTGCAAGAATAGCTGACGTATTCCCTGAGGTTTTCTTTCTCATGAGATTAAAAAAATCACTTCGGCTCTGAGCTTGAGACAGGGAAGGTCTCTTCTTTGCCATGGATATGGGATTCAGAACCAAGGCAGCAGCCTTGCGTTCAAGGGCAGAAACCTTTGGGCTTCCAGCACTCATCAAAGGAGCAGTTGGAACTGATGGAGCACCTGAAAGCTGGCCATTTGCAACTCTGCTGCTGGCATTATTAGTTAGACTAGATACATCCTTTGCTGTAGAGGAGTCACCATTCTCCCATACTGGCTTGAGAACAAGAAACTTTCCAGCATGAGAGGCCTTTGAAGCATCAGATATGACTTGTCTACTACGAAGAGATTGATTAGCAAGTTGTGATGAATGGGGCTGCTGCTGCTGCTGCTGCTGCACACTCTTCGCTGCCACATTCATCTCATTGGTTCTGACTGTTGTTTTGGGCTGCTTAGATTTATCGGAAGAATTGAGAGCCTGACCATGAGCAGGAATATGGAATTATAATATTTTAAACATCAGCCAGGCAGGGACACTTTGATAAGTTAACTGCAAATTGAACCCGTTAAAACATGGGGACATGCCAACGTGTGTGCATTATTTGGGGCAAAATATTCAGAAGTCGTCTAGAGTATAGCTCACTCACAAAACAATTCTCATGAATGCAATACAGAGTGAGCACATGTAAGCAGAATAAGTAAAAAGCACGTGAAATTGAAAATCACACCATTCATCCCGTCTACTAAACAGTTTTTTTTTATTGCAAACAACTACATACAATGCAAACTCAAAGTTCAAAGTTTCAAGCAGGCAGCAGCTTCTTCAACTAGAAATCAACAACAAATATTTATCACTGCCTTACGTATGTAATGCTTTCTGAGAAGAGCATGGATGTGAATCCTTTTACGAACTTAATCTCCTTTCTACTTCTTTCCTTCATTTGGTGAACATACTATATATTACCACTTTTTATATATGCTCAATTACTCATATGAGTTTCATTGTAATCTCTTCATATATAGCAGAAAAGACACTGCAGCTCAGAAATGAAATCAAAGGATATACGACTTTAACCTAGAGAGTATAAACATAATAATTTAACATCTAAATATAACTAGTAGGTGTACATGTGCGAGGCACATGGACCAATTTCAAGATTTATTTTTGCTTTTGCTTTTATTTTACAAGAAAGTATTCTTGGTCGAATTATAATGAAAAAACCTTATATTGAAAGTGATTGAAACATAATACTTAGCTGCATTCCAACAGGAAAATAAACCAAATTGACCCACAAACATAAGCACAATACCCACCACAAGAAACCAAGATGACAATATAAAATCCAGATATCCCCATTAATCTGCTTTCAAGAGTCATGACAAGGGTAAACCTACAAGTATATTAAACTCTGTTTAGAATTTTCATTTTTCCTGTCTTATACTTCTTCCTATAAATTTAAGGATTTGATCAATAAGAATCACGTGTGCTGAAACCATAACCAATATCAAAAACACCCATGGTAACATTGAGAAAAACTTCTTGTCTTTAAAGGGGGCATTGGGAGAATTTAATATGTCGATAACCACCAAGACATAAAGTGACAGTCATTCCTGTCACTTTACCAAGGATAAAATTTGGGAAAACAAAAAATTAGACCATAAAGAAAAACCATCACCTTTTGCAAAACTGAGACAAGTCAACAAGCATATTCTAAAGCTCACAAGATTGACACCTAGGAGAAAAGGTATGTGTATCACACTGAATTTTCCAACAGTTGTAAAACCCACCTCAAAACAAAAGTACTATTTATAATGTGAACATGCTTATTTGGGTCTTCTCTCATTTAATATGGTTTTAGTGTAGTTTAATGTATTATTTTGAGTGAATATATAGGAAGAAGATAAGTTGTTACTTTTAGAGGAAGATGAGAAGTTCACAAAAGGATAACAGTTTGTGCATGCCTATTCAGGCCCCCACCACATTTAATATGGTTTAGTGCAGTTTACTATATCATTCATGGTGCATGGAAAATAGAAAAAAGTTAAATAACTATTTTTGGGGAAAAATGCAAAGCCACACAAAAGAGTATTATTATTGTTTTATATTTGGCTAGGGGTAATATAGGTATTCAACATGGTTTTCACCTATTCTATCATTTAGAATTAGTATATTAGTATTACCATGAACATGGATAATACCTGCTTATATATACTTTAAATTCAACAAAGAGAAGAGTGATTTTCCTTTAAACGAAACCGGGAAAATAATTCGTAAAATAGCAGACTGCAACAAGTAACTCTAGTACACAAGCTAATTTTCAAACCCCTTGACAACAATTTGAGAGACTCAAACTATCAACTGGCACAACATGGCTTCAAGTTTACCGGCCTGAACTACAAGGAAAAAGATGGGAGAAACTGTTAAGATTTATGAACCAAAAAATTCACACCTTGGTTTCTTTTGTAAAGAAATTGGCTCTAAATTGTGATTAGGATATTGCAGTGCACTGTATCTTTTGAAGAAATGAAAAGCCAATAGAAATAAGAAGATAAAGCGAAAGACTCACACCACAAAGGTGTCAAAAATATAACTTAAATTTATAGAAGAGTTCAACATTCATCCATCAGACACATAAACTGAGAAATTATCCCATCTAGAGGTGTATCTAGATAGGCTTCAGTCCTTCCAATCAATGGAATGTATCTAAATGAGTAATTGGTTAAATGCACTCCAAAGCATACATGGAAATTAAAAATTTTCTTGACAACCCCTTTCATATGTTTGTCTCCACCAAGCATCAAATTTTCGTTTCTTTTCTATCAAAACATTTCGGTTTCAATAAAAATCAACACGAATAAGATGTGAACATTGAAATTCCCATTTTCTGGGATATTTCGGCATGTTTTGGAACATTTCGGCTAATGGAATCAAAATTCCAAATATTTCTCTATTTCAAAAACGTTTCCGTTTCGACATAATCAAAACTATGCACCAAATAAAATTTTGATCTTTGGTCTCGACGAGTAAATATTAGATGTAATGGTTACAACATTATCACGTGGTGTAACCGTCCAATGATAAATAAACAAGTAAGCAAGTGAACCCTACCTTTTTGATATGTGGCGATTACTATTCGGCATGGAGGGTTGGTTGTTTGAAGGAGTGAGTTCTATTTTGCCTAATTGTTGAGTTATCATTGAACGGTTACTCCATGTGACAATGTTGACATGGTATAACTATTACACCCAATATTTACTCGGTCTCAACACCTATTGATATATCAAGAGAAGGTACCAAATTTAAAAATATGTAAGAGAATTTGATAAATTATTGAAAATTTTTAATCCAATGTTATTTGGTATCCTTTAATTGACCATAGTAAATATTACCTCTCAAACACACTTTTTTCATGTTGATAGATAAGTTGTCTTCAACTGCATGCACCACGCCTTCACAAAGTCAACTGATAAATTATTTTTTCTACGTTTATTTCATTTTGATTAGAGGTGACAATCTTAACTCATTACTCATTAATCAGCAAAATCCACCCATAAATAAATGGGTTGAGTACCTATATTAATTAATATGAGTTCTAAATGAGTTAGGTAATATGATTCATTTTAATTAAGCGGGATAATATGAATTATAAATGAGAACCCATTAGATTGAGTATTTATCTTTTTATTAAACAACACAAATAATAAAATTAAATAAATATACTAATATACCAAAAAATACATACACTATTACACCAAAAAATACACACATATACACTAATACACAAAAAATACACACTAATACACCACCCATGATCCACGGGTCGACCCGTGGCCCACAGATCAACCCACGACCCATGGGTTAATCCATAACTCATTGGTTGACCCACGGACCAACCTATAGCCCACAATCGACCCCGACCCATTATATGTATATTTTTTATTATTAAATGGTTTTAATTTTTGTATTAGTATATGTGTCTATTTTTAGTGTATTAGTTTGTATTTTTGTGTACTACTAATTTTTGTGTGCGTGTGTGTGTGTTTTGGTGTACTAATGTGTCTATTAAGAATTTTAATTATTTTATGGGTTAATCGGTTTAACCCAACTCGTTATAAACCCAACCCATTTACTACGTGAGTGAAAAATGGATTGGATTTATTTTAATCCAATCTAATTTAACCCAACCCATAACTAACCCAAACCACCCATTTGCCACCTCTAGTTTTGAGGGTAACATAAATGCATCAAAACAAAGAGACACTAATACATCACTTTGCCCTATTATCTTATATTAAATACAAAACCGTAGGTATACTATGATAGTCACTATTATGAAATTATGCAAGAACATTTTCATGGAAAGGGTGCAATTCACTGCACTATAGTGCATAATTTTAAAATCACAAATCAAGTAGAATCACCAACTTACTATAAAATCATAATCCCATGTCGAACAAGATATATTTTTGATAACATTAGTATCCGGGGAATAGAATCACAAAATTATAAGGAAAACAAAACCAAGAACCACTGTAATTCTTACTTCTCGGCAATTTATAACTACTCGATACACTTCAGCAGCATGCCAATTTTTACAAAGAGGTATTATCAGCATATGAGAATAGTTTGTCAAACATGAGGAAAACTCTGGTGAATTCAGTGTATTACCAAGATAAAGAAAGCCAAGACTTGACAGAATAAGTGCGCACTTGACAACAAGATGATGAAAATAATTGAAGTCATGATCTAAATAAGACAAGAGCAAGGAATGATGCTAATACACGCTCAAAATAACTAGAAGAGGATAAAAAATATTTGAAATACAAATGCCTATTTGACCAAAGATGGAGCACAAAAAAATATAGATCTTAAGCATAATATCACCAATTAATAGATGAGGTAAACAAAACCAATCCTCTGCAGATAAGAACCAAATAAAATCCCATAAAATGCTATCTTAAAAAGACAAAATCTCAAGGAAAATCCTCTTACCAAGGCTTTAGGCAACGAGGGGGTCATGGGTATTAATTGCCTAGATTGCTTTATGGCCAATTCCTCAAGCCTCTGTGTCTTATCTGGTAGCTGTGCAAGGTAAACATAAGTAAATAATGAGATAAAAACCCTTCAACCAGTCTAAATATTAATTGCATACATAGTAGGAGGCATAACTCAGTTACCTGTGGAAGGGTATGAGCTTGTGATGGGGCCTGAGACAATGCCTCAGCCATGTTTGGGCCGGCCATAGCGCTTGCTGACCCAGACATTGGAGAGGTAACACTTTGTTGAACAAAAGAGTGGCCCAGGCCATTGCCGCTAATTATGGCAGGCACCTCTGCCAAAGCCGAAGTCCATCTCTCACCACCAGCAAACCCTGAATTGCCAATGGACAAGCTCTGAACAGAAATGCTCAACCCGGGAGACGAAACTCTCCCTATATCCGGTACTCCATGCTTCTCTTCCGTTTTAAGAGATGGAAAATCCTTTTCAAATGCAGCCTTCTGCATGCCACTGACTATAAAGTCTCCAGAAAACACACCATGTCCACAGTTGTGGTTATGGCCACCATTTTTTAAGTCAACTGCTCTTCGGGGTAACACTTCACCAGGAATTCTAGACAGCAGTGATTGCGAGCGCTGCAAAGTAGTTTTCTCAACCCTACTGCTTAAGATGTTTCCCAATGGATCTAAGCCATCATGGTTCCAAAGATCCCCAATAACTATCCGATCTTTCTCTCTCTCACGATTTTTATCATGGTGACTTCGAGTAAAACTACTATACGGATGCTTTGTAGAACCTTCACTGCCTGAACTACGCCTAAAATTGGACGAAGAAGTTCGATCTAGAAAACCAGAACGAGGGCTATCCTTTTCACCAATGCTCCTAGAAGATCTATTTCTTGTCAAACTATCATTACCTGAATGTGAAGAAGACGCTGCAAAATGGTGGCTTGAAGTGCCACCCCCAATAACACTGCCTGGACATCTCAACCATTCTGGAACTAATGCAGGTTCACTTCTTTCCATCAGTGCCAAACATTATCAGACTATAAAAATAAAGCCCAATCTAGCTTTCTTTTCTCCCCCACCCTTTCCCAGTAAAACTCTTACTGTACACCCAATCACAAGTTCAAACAGTAACCCTAGTTTTATTTTCCCTACACAACCAATCTTGCTTCACTAGATCCTCCAATTTTCCACAATTCACCACCTGCGTATATAATAAACTGCTAAATCTTCCAATCACCCTCAACGCTTCTGTAAATCTGTATTTTCTCGAATTTTGCAATAATTCACCAACTCAGTAAATCAGTTTCATCTATTTCTCCCAAGCTCTCACAGCAACTGAATTGGATTAACGGGTTATTATGTAAACCAAAATTAGAGTTTTCTGCTCTACTCCACTAATAAAAGTAACCAACTATCATGCATAGACGAATCCAGAGGGCAAGCACAGCAAATAGGGCAAGAACAAGAGGTATTACTGCTATGCAAAGAATTATATAACAGTCAAAGCTTCTCTACTCCTCCATCTCTTATTAAAAGATAGATTTGCAGATAAACAGCAAACACTCAATAGACCCTCATTTCGGCACAAACCCAACGTCAACAATCCCAACCCTTCATAACAAAAATAATTCTGAAGAAAAGCCCTCTGTTCCTCGGCAATAGCACATATATTAAATCAACAAAAATCCCCAAATAACAACATAATCAGATAGTGAATACCATGAAAATGTGGGCTAATAAAAACCCAGAAAATAGTTCCCAAATTCTAAGGTTTGAACAGAGCAATATGTGCATATATAACAAAATACCGAGCGGAATTCTAGAGCGAGAAAGTGATAGAGAGAGAGAGGTAACCCTACCTCAAGGGATTGACGAATATGCGGGCAGACGAGGTAGTTACCCTATAAAGATCCCCTAAAAAAGCCTAACCGCCCCCAATAACCGCCAAACTCTATATAGAAACAAGTATATGCCAATATGTGAACCGATATCTGTATGTCTGTTCTAAATGTGGTTTAGAGAGCGAAAGAGAGAGTAGGCGACAAAGAGAAGCTGGTGGAGAGAGAGATAGAGAGATTGGAATGTAAGTGAGACTCTGATATTAGCGCAGAGAAATGTAGAGAGAGAGAGAGAGAGAGAGAGAGAGTGGGAGAGGGCTACAAATTGTTGTTTCTGTTGAGTTTTCTGGAGTGAGAAAACAAAACCTTATGAAGAACACTCTTGCTGAGAAATGAAATTCCGTTTTTTACTTTATTTTATTTATATTTTCTATTTGCTTTGTTGGTTGCCAATAAAATTCCTACGCACAACCAAACCAGCTTGACTTCCCCTCTTTGAAATCTTGGGCCAGGCTTATTCATAGTTGGGGTGCAATTTGGGTTGGGCAATCCGATTTTAACTCGAGCCCAACCCAAAAAAATTAGAACTTAAACAAGAATTTTTAATATTTGGATTAAGCTTGGGTCAAAAAATTCTAACCCAAATTCAATTTGGGTTGGGCTCGGGTTAATGCATCGTGAACTCGAGTTCAACCTGAACCCGGTAAATTAAAAAAAAAATTATATATATATATATAAAGTATTAGTATTGATTTTTCATTTTGTTCTATCGTTCTCTGTCTTTCCCGTTCTCTCAGCCTCTCTTGTTAAAAACTTGGTTAAAGTTATTGGTTGTTAATTCAGGTGAATATTATGTAATATATGTATTAGGTTTGGAACAACAAGCCTATTTTGGGCTCTACCCGAATTGAATCCGTAAAATAACCCAAAATCATCATGAAATTATCAACCCGAACCCGCCTAAATTAAACTCGAGCAGTGCTCGGGTTGAGTTCCCCAACCCGAAGTAGGGTTAAGGTTTAAAATTATATACCTACAGTTGGGTTAGGGTTGATTATCCAACCCGCCCAACTAGCCCGAGTTGTACCCCTAATTCATAGTGGTATTTGGTTTGCTACACCTTGAACTATGTGTATTATATATAGGGAAATGGAGAAAACTACTTAGTCGCTTGATATATGCGATTATAATTCGTTTCTTTTTTTATTTGTTTATTTATCAAAATTTTTTATTTTATCACTTGAGAATTTAGATAAATATTATATAAAGTTTTTTGATAATAAAAGTGATTTTTTGAATAAAAGTGAAAAAATAGTTGTGAGTTTTTGAGGAGTTGAGAGGTAATTATAAATAACACATGGTAGCATCTAATTGGAGGGAATTTTAAGATTTGAATTAACAAAAATTAATTTTTACGAAATTAAAAAATGAGGAGGTAAGGCTTTCCTATATATATAGTAAGTATCGGTGTCAATATTATATTGAGAATAATACATAAATATGGATTAGTTACTGTTGATTTCAAAAACTGTTCACTATGGTGGATGATTAGAATTATGAATTGGCAACCGCTGGGGGTATTACTACAAAACAAGATAAGGACCAAAGAGATTCTGGTTGTCGAACATTCGATGATAGAGTCAAAAAGGAATAATCGAAGGAAACTATATTCAGCCGGGAGTAGTCAATCTACTTGGATGATGCCCAGCTTGGGCCTTTTTATAAGTCAAAAGATTTGATTGTTGAAGATCCTTAGCTACTAATTGAAAGGATGTGACAACGGAAGTGGAACCGACAAGGGCGCTTGTTAGTATGAATATCTCAACTGGTTTGAATTAGTCAAGACATGTGGAGCTAGGGTGATGTCGAGCTGGGAAGCTAGCGAGCAAAGGCGCTAAGGCCTTTTCGAGTCATGGAGCTTATCCTTCAAGTGATAGAGCTCATGTGCCAAGCTCATGTCCTCTCAACTTCCTTTAACGAACCACCAACTCTTTTTTTCCTAATGAAGTATGTTTTTATGAGTCTATCTTTGAGGTTGGACTTCGTTTTCCAATGCCTAAATATATTAGGGAAGCACTCCCCCACTTGAATCTTCTTGTTCCTTCTCAATTGACCCCAAATTGCTAGGGATTCTTGGTAGGCATAGGCATTATTTGGGCTAGGGACAATGCAATTGACATACAACCTACCTTTGCCGAGTTCATGCACTGCTATAAACTCACCCCTTGCCTTGGGCAAGGCTTAGGGTGGTCTACCTTTCAAAGAGAGGGTCGACTTATTGACAGGCTATTCTTCAAATGTGAAAGAGTGGCAAGACGAATTCTTCTTTGTCTTTGGACCTGATTGGGAATTTGGGCCTTTAGAGGTTTCCTTAAGTAGATCTTTTTTGGTTCGTCGTTTATGGGGATCTACCACTCCCCTACCTTTGTGAGTAGATTTTCTTTGGTGTGACTTAACATGCAATTTCGCTAAATTTTCACCTTCTGCTTTCTTGGAATGCAAGTAAATCAAATCCCCTGCACCCTGAATTAAAACTTCAGGTCAAGAAGGCTCTTGATTTCCCCACCAAAAATCTCTCTGACTTTGTGAGGGATCAAGCGCTCTTTATGAGTCAGTTAGGTCCTTCTCCCATTGCCTCCAACCCTCTGACTCTTGTAGTTTCTTCCTCTAAAGGTATAGTTTTTCCTTGTTGTAGTTCGTTAGCTTGGAAATGCTTTGATTTGTACTTTATTCCTTTTTAGCCATTCCCAAGTCGGTAGACAAAAAGGCCCTTTAAGAGGCTGTGGCTAGGAGGGCTTTTGATTCTAGCCCTCCTCCATGTAAGAGGTCAAGGGTATCTTTTCCTCGGGGTAAAGAAACATCCCCGAGCTCCACCACTTTGCAAGTATCCCCTCCTTCCTTAGAGGAAGAAGCTAATCTTATTGTAACTTATCAATTGGATGACCCCCTTCTAATGGTCCCCTTGGTTGAAGTAGTTATTGCCCCTTCAATAGACAAATGTAAGGGACAAGGCAAAATATCCAATGTAGCTGAGGAGGAGGATCACACTACTCTGACTCATCCTATGGATCCAATGGCCACACAATCAACAAATGTGGGATAGTGTGGAAGAGGTGATGGTTAGTGTAACACTCCAACCCGAGGTACAATATCTGTAATCCCTGCTTTTCTTTCATACACCTTTCTTTATATAAAAATAAGCATATAAAAAAAATTCATCAAATCCCTTAGTGGTACGGCTTGGCACGAGCCCTACTTATTTACAAACCGTAATATTGATCTCAAAAACATGACATATAATAATACAATTTAAATTTAAAAGACATATAAAAATGAACCCCATGATGACATCTCAATTGACCCTCTAGACTCGGCAGTGGACTCCTCACGTCTTTATGATTTTTCCCGAAAAATCATTTAGACTATTAGTAAAAGCAAAGATGCAATTAATAATTAAGAGCACAACAAGTAATAAAGGAATATTTATTTAGGAACAACCTTAACTGCATATCAAATACTTACTTACAAATTACACTTCACCTCATGCACATTCGTTTACATCATATAGACATAACCTGTATATACCACATTGGCAAAATATACCACACATATATTTACTTCCCACATAATTAAATTATTCCTCACAATGAATACCCCACCCACACACACACAAACTAATCATCTTGTAAACAACAACCGCCATTCAGGCTATATTTAGTTATATAGATTGTTGCGCCACACAGGCCACATGTATCGCAAGCTTTTATCATCTCATAGATATCATTCATCACTGGGACAACCCAAACCACATTAATGGTTTTCCTTCAGATGACTCAAATTACAGAGAGTTTTTGATCACGTTACTTAGACGACTCCACCACATAATCAAATCCTATCACATAGACGACTCAATCCATATAAATAATTCATGTTACTTAGACGATCCAACTCACATAATCCTCTGTCATCACTTAAATGATACTCAAAACACTACCGTATGTCTCTGCTTAATTAATTATTCTCAAAAAATAACCGTAGCAAAAATATATGTTTAAAAGTCTAATAAATTATCACAAAAAGTTGTAGGGTGGTGCACTTACCTTGCGTGATGTTTTGCTCGTAAACGACCCCTCTGCCAGAGCTTCTAGTGTGGCATTTTTAGCGGTGTTCGTCTCCAGACCTGGCATAGCCGATATTCACAATTCCATTCATACATTAATATACAAATACCGCTTAAGTTCAA